AATAATAATAATAATAATAATAGTAATAATAATAATAATAATGGCAATTAACGATAGTTAATGATAATAGTAAGTAATAATTGTGATTATTATTCCTATAGCAATAATAAATCTCACTATTCTTAAACTTATTTCTTTTTGCCAATATTATCATTACTTTTTCTATTCATTTTATTAATTTTCAATTTTCATTGAAATAATTTTGTAACTTAAATTAAAATTAAACAAATGATAAATAATCTAACCGCTGGTGGTACAACAATAACGCGAATATTTCCTTTCGAAGTTCCCGATGAACCTGTTTTTCCAGGAATTGTTTTCTTGTGGCCTTTTGGAAATATTATTGGTGGTTTCGAAGAATTACCCGTCTAAATTTATTGATTACAATCTGTTTTGTTATCATTGTCAACATCAGAGCTCAATCAATCATTCTTCCCTTTCTGTGATCATTCTATAAGAGCATAAACTTCATAATCATTGTAATGCCCCTTTGACCTCATGAACTTTCTCAAACTCCATCAATTTCTAGAATTTTTTGAAATGTTAACCTCAACTTTGGAGGTATTGTTTTCCTTACTAGCTTCACCAGGTGATGATGCGCTTAGTGCAGCCATCATCCGCGATCTTATAGATAGATTCGGTGGTACTTTTGGTGTCGGTCGTATGTTCAATCCTTCATCCTGCAAACTAATCAATCAGTGAATCAATAAAACATACAGAATAAACATTTCATCAAATTAAAATCTATGACAGTATTGCTGATAAACTGATGACCATTCGGCATAATCATATAGCTTGAACAATATGACATAGCAGCATGTAGTAGCTTATCAGAGCATGGTTCCAGCCTGGAAACTGGTTAACCAAAACCCGAAACTATCTAGGAATAATGACTGCCTGATATTTTTAAGCAGGAAATAATTAAAACTAGTAGATAGATTTTATTTTCTTTGTGACGACAACAAAACCATACAAGCATACCGAATAGAATAAGCGGAATAGTTCAACTGTTGAACTATTACCATACTCTTTTAATAGACTTCTATATGACGTGTAAACAGAAGAACACGTTACACGTTGGTGATTAGATCATTCTAATGAATTAGTAAAGATATAACATGTTGTTGTTGTTGCTCTTGTTGTTGTTGTTGTTGTTGTTGTTGTTTTCCTGGTATGATTTGCTCCTTTGGATCACCAACTTTTTTAGCTGGACGAAGTCCAGCTGGTACAGAAAGACCGTTGTTAATATCGATAAGAACAACTGATATCATCAGGATTGGACAGAAACAAACAGTGCTGAGGTACATCGTCATAGGTCACAATAGCATAGACGACGAATTCCTGCAACGTCATTTTAGTACTTTTTGACACAACGGCTGTAATTTTTACACACACATAAATAAATAAATAAATCAACAAATAAATAAATAAGTAAATAAATGAATGAATAAATAAATAAATGAATGAATGAATAAATAAGTAAATAAATGAATAAATATAAGGGAAAAACAATTAAAAAAGAAAAAAGAGAAGAATGAAAGAAAGGAATTTGTGTAAAGAAATGTAGAGAATGAAGAAGTGATAAATGGATAAATTTAACGCGAATAATACTTCTCTAAGCATTATTGATTACTTCGGATATTGGTTTTCTAGATTTTCATGGAATTCTAACTGAATAGCTGATCAGGTCATCTTACAATATCCGGCAATCGTAGTTGTTACAATATGATTGAATTATTCACAGAGGCTTTGCATAAGGTTTTAATTCCTTAACTGCTATCACTTATAATTTAATTAAATTTAATTCTTTCATGGTTTAACATAAGCAAACGGAAAAGCCGTATGAATTCCTTGTAAACGATTATCGCACAATCTAAGCTCTTTACAAACTCTTTGCAAAGAGTTACACTTTTTTTTTTATCAAAAAAATAAGAATAACTTTTTTACTAAACGTTTTATTCATTCCTACATGAATATATGATAAATTATGAAATGAAGTCTTACTTACAATCTCTAATTATATTCATAATCCCAACAAAAATTAGATTTGTAACATTAAGATAAAGAAACATATAAATCAAATACAATGATAAAATTGGAATTGATGATAGGATTTAAAAAAATCTATTACTGATATTTGTTTTTTTACTAGATCTAAGATCACTTAGTAATTTGGAAAATCAGGATATTGTTAACATAAAGATTATTATAACACCTGCGAGAAACTTCAATATAGCTTTTGTAGTCTAACGATTGAATTAATTGCAATT